TCTTAAGTCCTAGCTGCTCTCACCAAGTGTCATGAAGTCCATAAGGAACTCGGTCAGCTCCTGGCTACAGGATGGAGGGACAAGTTTATCTAAAGCCATTTGCCTCGGTGAACTCCCCAATCTGCCTTACTGTCCTAGGACCCTAAACTTGAGACAGTAGGAAGTGCACTCAATTGAGATTCTGAAACTTGGGGTTCATTTCGAGGCTGTCTGCTTAGAATAGTGACAGAGCACAGATTTTGAGCGAGACAGTTCTGGGTCTGAATCCTGGCCCATCTGTACTTTGGGCATAACAGCAACTATCTTTCCAGGGAAGATATCCTGGCCAGTTGATATCTTGTGTCTTAAGATCTTGTGTCTCTAAGTTCACCCCTTTTTTCACTGTCCCATCAGGTCTCACCAATGGCGGGGCCCTATTTTGTCTCAAGTGGGCCATGCAGGCCACCCATCAGGCTCCTGTTACCAGCATCATCGCAAAAGAGAGGCAGGGAGGGGGGCATCCTCCCCCGGAAATGAGGCAGCTGGGAAGTCTAGAAGTAGGGCTGGGGGGGTAGGGCAGGGGTGTAAGTGGTAGCAAGGGAAGGGCTGTTTTCTGCTTAAAGTGGTCAGTGGGGGAGGAAGTAGGTCAGCAGTGTGGTAGTCAGGACTCAGGCTGGAGTTCTGCCTCTCCCTGGGGTCACCAACAGCTCCCAGGGCACGACACAGGGCTGCTGGTCTACAGACTACACTTTAAGTAGCAAGGCCATAGATGATTACACAAGAACTGCTAGGGGCATCTGTCAGGTGGAAGGTGTGAGCCAAACGCCTGCAGCTTAGTCCTAAAATTGCTAGATGTCAAAGTCGGAATTTAAGAGTTAGTGAGATCTGGCTGGGAAGGCATAACCTCAGTCTAATCATGAGGAAACATCTGACAAACACAAAATGAGGAACTTTCAGTTTTTAAAAAAGGTGGGGGTGGGAGGGAAACCGGTATTCCTCAAAAATATCAATATCATAGAAGACGAAGAGAGGCTGTGGAAATGCAGTCAAGCTTGGCATAACGCCATGCCAGTCAACAACAGACCAGATATATGATAGTGGCTCCACAAAATGATAGTGTCTTATTTTTATTGTAGATTTTCTTTCTTTTTTTTTTTTTAGAGACAGAGTCTCACTGTATCGCCCTTGGTAGAGTGCCGTGGCATCACATTTCACAGCAACCTCCAACTCCTGGGCTTAGGCGATTCTCCTGCCTCAGCCTCCCGAGTACCTGGGACTACAGGTGCCCGCCCAATGCCCGGCTATTTTTTTTTGTTGCAGTTTGGCTGGGGCCAGGTTCGAACCCGCCACTCTCAGTATGTGGGGCTGGCGGTGCCCTATCCACCTATGATTAGATACCACTGTGTTCCAATTGCCTAAACCTGCCATAGCTTTATACCATAAAGCCTGGCTGTGCAGTGTGCAGGACCACTGGAGCTAGTGAGAGTGCACTCTGTGATGCTCATACAACGAACTCACTTAAGTACACACTCCTCAGAACGTATCCTGTTGTTAAGTGATGCGTGATGTGATGGATTCCACATTAGAGGAGGTTAAAGACACATGACAACTAAATGTAATATCTTGCCCTTCACTGGCTCCTAAACTGGAGGGGAAATGCTATGAAGGACTTATTAGTTCAAGTGACAGCCTGGAAGATTAGAAGGTAGGTTAGATAAAAACCCTGAATTAGTATAAATTTAGGAAATGGACAGCACTGCTGCGGTTATAGAAGAGTTATGTGACCTTGCCTCCCTACACACATTCCATGAAATACTTAGGAAAGTATGTAGGGGTGAAGGGCCCAGACGAGTGCAACTTACTCTTATATGACACCGAAAAACAATTATGTATGCAGAGAGAAAGTAAGAACTACAAAGCAAGCTTGGTAAGGTGTTAACAAGTCACAAAGGGTATGTGGGTTTTCCCATTTTCATGTACCATTTCTATTTTTAGGTTTGTTTTTTTTTTTTGAGACAAGAGTCTCACTATGTCGCCCTCAGAAGAGTGCTATGGCGTCACAGCAACCTCCCTCAAACTCTTGGGCTTAAGCCATTCTGTTGCCTCAGCCTCCTGATTA